TTTGTTATGTTTTTTTTGCATAAATTTTTGTTATGTTTTTTTGTGTAACCGTGTTATACTTTGTGAGGCTACTGTACGTAGTATTTATTAAAAGATGCCTCCTTTTGCCGCGGGAGGTCCTATTTACTATATATCGATATAATCTTTCCATAACTTAGGATGTTAAAAGTTCAGTTCGGTTCGACTCCATAATGGATTTTTTATTTTAGTTAATATTTTAACTACAGTATATATTTTAATTGCCAATACGTATCGTGAAAAGGTAAAATTCGATTCATTGAATTTCTAGTTTTGGGTACTTGAATAATAATACATCTTTTTTTTTGATATAGTAACGATAATTACCAGTATAAATAATTAAATCAAGAATAACTACTCACACGCGTTTAATTTATTATTATTGATTTTTTTAACTTTTTTGATTTTTTGACTTTATCATTATCAAAGATAGAGTTATTAGGTTCCTTGCTCAAATTACGTTTCTTATGACTCGATTTTTTAGTTATATTTTTTGATTTTTTTTTTTTAGGCTCCATATGGGCTACATTTTTTTTTTAAAAAAAAAAAAATTCTGTCGTTACGTAAAAAATAACGATCGCGATTTTGATTCGAAAAACACGTGCATATTATCTTAATAATTTATATAAATTAGTTTATATATCATTATTTTTTTTTTCAAACTTTTTCCGAAAACAAACTGGTCAGAAATTTTACTATTCTTTATTCCAGTAGGTCTTGTACCTACAACCAGTGTTTAAAATTCGATGTTCTCAGTGAACACTAAAGTTATTTTAAGAACATTAATATTTAAAATAATGTTTTCTTATTTGAAAACATTTTGTATAGACAGAATGTTTTCAAAATATTATTAGTTATTATTATTAACAATTAAAAAATTATAACTTTTTTACTACTATATTAATCTTACTTAGGCTCTTAAGTAAAGTTGTGCACAGAAACTTTCTGATTCTAATAGTACTTGAAATGTTCAAATTAGTCCAATAGATCATGAGTTATACCTATTTTAATTTTTGTGATTATAAATTTTCTCTTTGCAAATTTGCAAAAAAAAAAAAAAAAAAAAAACTTATAGTTACAAAAATTAAAATAGGTATAACTCATGATCTACTGAATCAATTTTAATATTTCAAGTACTATTAGAATCAGAAAGTTCCTATGCACAACTTTAAATAAGAGCTCAAGATAGGTTTACTTGATAAAAAAATATAAGTTTCTTTGAAAAATTATATTTATATAATGAGAACATTAAATGCTTTAAATTTAGCTCACTTGAGAACATAATTTTGAATTTGAATTTTAAACACTGCCTACAACCCTGTATCTACGAGCTTTTCGTATCTCCCTGTCCAAATATCTACCAGTTCTGTATAAAGAGGAGTCGGTTATAAACTTTTTCTTGAAACGAATCAGCGAAGAGTGTTGCAAGAGAAACGTGGTTAGAGGCACTTCTTGCAGTGGCCTTGTCTGACTAGAGATGTTATCGGCTTCACTTGAAGCTGGCTCTAGCCGCGGCTTGATACCAGAGCCACTATCAATTCAAGCCTTTAAAATCATGGCTTGAATCAGAGAAGTATGGCTTTCGGCTTTGGCTTTCAGATATAACCTAAGCCAAGCTGATAAACTTTAGCTATGATTTTGAAGCCGGCTTCAGACGTAGGCGATTTAAGTCCTGTAGCTTTACAATAGCTTAAGCCATAGTTAGCAGCGGCTCAGAAAACTAAGCCATGACTCAAACTGCTTGGCTAACTCAAGCCATAATTTGGCTGCACCATGGCTATTTATGCTATGGCTTTAGTAAGCCATTCCAGCCGATTACATCTCTATGTCTGACTCACGTTACAGTTCCAAGATGGAACGCGGTTCCAGAGTGGAATAATTGTAGCAAACCAGTAAAGCTATGTGGAACAACCTATTCCTATCAGGGAGGTACTAGGTGAGATGGGTTGGGGGAGGGGTACTACTGGGATGTATTTATCGGACAAACGCAAGCTCCAGGGAGTTTAACAAAAAAAATTAGTTCGAGAACATTTACTAGTAAATACCTTCCCAACGTGAAATACACCTCTACGCGGTGGTTAAGTATTTCGAAATACAAAAAATTCTTTAAGAAGTTCGTGATATATTTCTTTTGTAGGTTTGTGCCTTTTTCGGTGGTTTACTAACTAATAAACTTTTTTTTTATAATTTCAAGTCTTTTGACGTTTTACTGTAAACTTGTGGTCTTCGGATTATTAGGCGTTTTTGATAAATATTTTTTGTAGTTTTTCTCTGTCTTTTGGCATTTTACCGGTAATTAATTACATTCTTCAAATCTTTCGCGAGGTCGGCGTTTTGGGTGAATATTCTTGTAGTTATCTCCTGTCCTTTGGCGTTTTACTGGTGTTTTAGATCTTTCTTCGGGTCTTTCGGCGGTTTGGGTGAATTTTTTTGGGGGCTTTCAGTCTTTCGACGCTTTGGTGAATATTGTAGCTTTTCTCTTGCTTTCGGGATTTTCTGGTATTTAATTGGATCTTTTTTCAGGTTTTCGGCGATTAGGAGAATTTTCTTGAGTTTCGGCGCTTTTGGTGAATATTGTAGCTTTTCTCCTGTCTTTCGGTGCTTTAAATACTTATCGAATCGGATAGTTTAATTTTTAATCAGGTGTTTTAAGTTTGCGGCGATTCTGATGAATACTGTGGCTTTTCCCTTGCTTTCTGATGCTTTACAGCCATTCTCATAAATTCTGGGACACTGATAAAATTTTTAATTCATGACTATTCGGCCGAATTCAATAAATTATTGATTTCGGTTTATATTATAATAATTTCTGTTGATGTGTTAAGGTATGATTATGTATTATATTATGTATTATGTTTACTTTATTCTTACACATAGCGATAATTGCAAATTGTCTTAACATTTTACCTTAACGTTAATAACTGTTTTTGTCAACCAATAGATCTGCACTTGAAACATAAGTTAAATTTTCTTAATAAAAATATTATGAGCGCAGGTGCTAACAAAAAAGATTAAGAATTTGTCGATTGGTTTAAAAAAATGTAACTCGAATTTGAGATTACAAGATATCAAGATTTTATTAATATTTGTCGAACATATCTTTATTAACATGTATTGATAATTATAATCTACAATATTATCAAAGTAAAAATTTTTTAAAATTTCATAAAGTTTTGAGGTATCTATATTTATTAATCGTGTTCTTCCTGTAAGTGAAAGAAGCTTTTCGATACATCCATATTTTTTGAAATGAACTCGATCAACAGAAGACTTGCTAATACATAAATTGCCTAGTAATCACTCGAATTGGCAAGCCTTCTAAAAAAATTTTCAACCAACGAATACGTTTTGAAAGAATCTTTTAAAAATAACCATACAATAACGATAAGATCATTTGTACAATAGAATAGTAATTTTATTCTTATTACAATTTACAGTATTATTCCAATTTATAAATACCGAAATTAATCTTATCGAATTCGGCCGAATCGTCATAAATCAGTATCCCAGAATTTATCTGTAAATATGAATATGTTTTCGATAAAAAAAAATTCCCGTGTAACAGTGATTTTGATAACCAATAAAAATAAACATGCCCTAGATGCTGTCCTGATCCCAGTAGAAAATTTTTCATGCACTCCAATTTTATTAAAGCTCACTTTTTGAGGCGTTCAATGCCTAAATCCACATTTTATATCGGTATAGATTTCTCATAATTATTCATGATGAATTTTTTGTAACTAAAATATATTTTTTTCATAAATGTAAATTACATATTAACAGCAAAGAAACTTTTACATAATAAATCCCGACTTGGCACACAAACCACTGTGATAAAATTAAATTTTAATGAACAGAACAATGTAGATAAATATACCGAATTTTGTGAAAAATTTGGGATAAAATTTTCTGATAAAAATTTAATACATCAAGTTTGTACACATAAATCAGTTAGATCTAAGACTGCGCCTACGAATGAACGATTAGATTTTTTGGGTAATTCACTTTTTTTTTTTTTTTTAATTACAAATTTCTCTTTATTAATAACTTAATTCTTCAAAATAGGTCAAAAAGTGATATCTCTTTACGCCGCTGAATACTTATTTAATCAAGTGAAACCTTCAGAACTACATGAGCGTGTTTATTTATACACAAAAAGATCCGTAAATATTGGTAGAATTGGTGTTAAAATGGGACTAAACAAATTACTAAATTGGACACCGGTACATTTTTTTTTTTATATTCTATTTCTCTACTACCATACAAGATGTTTATATTTTTTTAATTTTGATAGAGTAATGAATCTAAAATAATTGAAGCGGAAAAAAATGGACAAAGTTTACAAGGTTTAGGTGAAGAAAGTGTTACTGGTAGAGTACTTCAAGCACTTGTTGGAGCAATATATCATGATCAGGTAATACTTTTTTCTTTCAAGTTATTTTCTCCAAAATCTAAAAATTATATTTCTACCTTTAAGGGCGCATATGCAGCAAAGCAATTTGTCCATAAGCATATATTATCGGCTTCTATAGATCTTAGTTCAACATCATTATAAATATTATTTGATTTAAACCAATATAGTTAATCGATAAAATCTACCTTAAGACAGCAATAGTCAAGTCGATTAAAAACTTAGTAATGTATATAGGATCTAGACAATAAATAATTGTGGTACCGAAAGTATGAAAGGTTTTCTTACATTTCGGAAAAGCTTGGCCAATAAGTATAGCATGCGATACAATATTTACATATATAGATGATATATATCTGTTATCCGACAAACTCATATGATCATAAATTTATTTCTTTCTGTTATTTTTTTTCATGTTTATT